ATAATAATAATATGATTATCCTTGATGACAGAGGAAATGATGATGATGATGGTGATGGTGATGATAGTCAAGATTTTATTAAATATGACCCATTTGATCAATTCATTACAGATTCATTAGAAGGACAATCCTATTATAATTTCAATAACATCAGTAACAATAACAATAACAGTAACAGCAGTAACGATAGCAATAACAATAATAGTTCAGCATATTTTCAATATTCATTAGATGACCTATCAGATATATTAAATACAGATGATGATAATAATAATAACAATGGTAACGGCAATAATAATAATTTTACATATCTATTTTCTGATGATGATGATGTCAAGGAATTTTTGAAGAATATAAAAAATACAATTGAAATGTATGATAATGAGTTTGATTATAGAATTATAAATGGGTTCCCATTAAATTTCAAAGAAAAAGGTAAAGAACCACAACCAATAGTTCCAGAAATTAACAATATTAATAGTAATGATTGTAAAAATAAAAAAGATTGCAGTGATAATGGTGGTATGGAATTGGAAGTTGAAATTGATACATCAAAATTGGAACCAATCGATAAACTTGGAAATTTGCAGTGTATAGATTTCCATCAAGGTAGTGGTGATGTTAATGAAATGGCAATTCATATTTCAAAGTTCAAAAATCATGAAGTGCATAAACTTGCAATTGCTTACATTGCAAATCATGACCCAAAATATAATATGGCAGGTAATTTACAATTATTTGATGCTAGGAAAGGAACTGTATATTATTTACAAGGACATTATGATTATCATACAGAAACTACAAATGAAAAACTATGGAAATCTGTCACGGACGTGAAATTTTCCCAGGGAGGGAAATTTATTTACTCTTGTTCTACTGATAAAAAAGTTATTATCTGGTCATCAATAGGTAAAGAAGATCAAATTTGTACTCCCTTGGCAGCTGTAGAATGTGAAGACACTGTAAATCGCATTGTTGCTAAACATGACAAATCTAAGGCCACGTATCAATTTGCATCATGTGACAATTCAGGCAGCATCACATGTTTTAGTTTGAACGCAGATGAAGGCAATTCTTATAAGTTAGATAAAAATATTTTGCAAGTGAAAACAAAAACAACAAGTGCTCCACCTATTGTTGACATAATTTATGGTATTGACTATTTTGATCAGACCATCATTGCCGGTTTTGAAGGAGTTGAATCACAGAAAGATGGTTTTATAAGGTTATGGGATATAGAAACAAAAAGAAAGTTAACTGACTATAAGATAGGCAGTAACAATAGTGTGAGTTGCTTGGGAATGTCAACATCTGGATATCGGGTGGCATGTGGGGTGACATCAACTAGTGACCAGGTTAGGAGTGATGGGAATATACGTTTGATTGAATTAGAATCTAACGAAAAGAAAATATATCAAACCAATGAATATGATTCAAATGTTATTGCATTTTCACCAGATGATCAATATATTGCATTGGGAGGGGTGGGGAATAAAGTTTGGGTATTTGATACAAGATATGAAAACAAGCCACTTCGAATGCTTTCTCACACTACCCCAAATGATGGACTGATATATGAGGGAATCAATGGAATTCAATGGATTAATAGTAACATGATTTTAACTGGAGGCTCAGATGGTATTGTTAAGTTATGGAATATTAATAAATCAGATAATTCATCCACTTGTTTGAAATACGAATTCCCAGAACATGATAGCCCAATAACATGTATCAGAGCAAATGAAGATTTGAATTATTTGTCAGTTGGTGTGTCAACAGGACGTGTTTACTTATACTCTACTGATCAAGCTGTATTGAATAATAGGGACAATATTAAATTTTATTGCCGTAATGAATAGGAATTTGTCACTATAATTAATTAATGTGACTCTATAGATTGTTAGTTACATTTGCTTTAAAAAAATTCAGCAGCTGTTTTTAACATTTAATTAATTAATCCTCTCTAATAATAAATAACTCAACAATTTGGTAAAAATATTTCAAGTTATTTTTCTCCCTTCATTATTTGCTAAATTATTATAAGGAATCCATTGAAAATAATTACGATTATCATTTTTTGTTGCTTTAAATTGTGTATTTTTAATCAACTCATCTAATGTTTCATTGCCACTGGTCCATCCTTCAGTTGATCACATGATTGACACCATAACCAATCAGTATTATATCTATAGCAGGTTGTACATTCACCATTCCCTTCTTCTCTTTTTTTTGAATATTCATCATTTTGAAAACTTCCATCTTCCATGCAATGCATTACAAATATATATTCTTTTGTAATTGGATCTTGTGTTAACCCATAAATATAAATTTTATCATGGAATTTCTTATAATTTTTGAACTAAAATAACAAATAGGATATTAATTACAACAATAATAGTCAATAATATTTTAAAAAATCTGAAACTAGTATTATAATTTACCTCATTAAGAAATTCATCAAAAATATTCTGTGGCTTGTGTGGTTTTTTTAATACCACAGGCATATCTTTGCTAGTTCTTTTGTTACTAATATAATTTGCACTTTTATAACCATTTAACCAAGTAGCTTTGGATATAGTTGCAAATCCACCTTCATCTATCTTTTCAATATTTGTTAAATCATTATAAGGAATCCATTGAAGATAATCACTGTAATGATACTTGGTTGATTTAAGCTGTGTGCTTTTAATCAACTCATCTAATGTTTCATTGCCACTTGTCCATCCTTCAGTTAATAACTTTGGATCACATGATTGACACCATGAATAATCAGTATTATATCTATTGCAGGTTGG